ATATATATATATATATATATATATATATCCCAATGTGGGTCAGTGACCTATGCCCAGGTGGGCTAATCCCCATAAAAACAACAACAAAGCCGCGGGAAATTAAGGTTTGTTTACATCCGGCAGTTCGGCTGCTCTCTCTCTCTCTCTCTCTCTGCTTGTCTATACAGAGTACAACATTTAACCCTTCAATATATATGAGCAGTAAATAAGTGTGGCTTTCATATTCTTATGTAGAGTAATGACGATATATTTTCACATGTGCGCACTTACATACGAGCAGTCTCACTTTTTTTTACCATTAATGGTTAGCTACTTATATTGTTCCATTTATTAACATTAAATAACATTACAGGTACTTCAAGCAACCATATTCATTTTTTACATTAATTTTACTACAGCTAAACTCAGGGTCTTATTTTCTTCAGTTTTATATGTAGAACCAATCAGTCACTGGTTTCGTAAGCTTTAACATAAACAATGCCGGCAGCCGTCTCGTCTCCTCTAATATTCCACGTATTATTAATAAATTGTATTGTTAATTTTGCACACACGTACATTAATTCAATAAAAACAAATTCAGAAACATTAATTAAAATATATATGAACAGTAAATAAGTGTTGCTTTCATATTCTTATGTAAAGTAATGACGATATGTTTTCACGTGTGCGCATGCGCACTTACATATGCGATCTCTCTTTTTCTTTACCATTATCGTTAGCTACTTCTATTGTTCCATTTATTAACATTAAATAACATTACTTAAAACAACCATATTAATTTTACTACAGCTACAACCAAGGTCTTATTTTCTTCAGTTTTATATGTAGAACCAGTCAGTCACTGGTTTTGTAATCAACGAAAACAATGCTGTGTCATTTCCTCGTGTGTTTTAATATTCTACGTATTATTAATGAATTGTATTGCTCATTTTGCACACATAAACATTAATTCAATAAAAAAGACATTCAGTAATAAACAATAATGAATCTTTTGTACATAAGAGAAATGACGCTGTTTACACGATTATGCACGTCGTCTGCACGTTGGCGGGCCGTTCAAACCTCATCGAAATTCAAGTTTCCGCCGTCAAAATTTTTATTTATTTATTTTTTGTGTGTTCCAATAAAATACGTTAAGAATTAAAAACTCGCGAAATTTGAGAAGCTACTATACGACATTTAACCCTTCAATATGTCTTCAAAGAGACCATGACGCAGAGAAAGTGGTGCTAGTGCTTCCAGGCATAAACACAAGTCACTATCTATCCAGGAAAAGGGTGAATTTCCATGGTCCGGCAATTTCCATGGTCCGGCACCGGTCAGGTCCCGAGGTTGCCGGACTAGAGAGGTACAACCTGTAATTTGGTTTACACAAAGCAAATATTTTATCTTTCGTGCAAAATATATGAAGTTTACATTCAAAATATTCCCTGACCTGCAAGGAATCCAGAAATGTCAATTATATTATCCTAACTTTAGTCTGAGGTATTATTTATTACTATACGTTAAAATCTAGTGTTTTCACCCAAACATTTCTCAGAGAGGTAGGAGCCAGTGAGCTGGGAAGACGGGGGGGGAGTTGAGTCCATTATTTGAATGGACATTAACTTGGCGACTGTATTTTTCTTAAATATTAATTGTGTGTGCATACCATCATAAAATTAAGATGTTATTTTTACTACAACATAGGTATTGTGTCGGAAAAAGTGGAGTTTGGGGTTCGGCCCAGTCTCTATTGGAATTAATCCCATATGTTCTGTTGTTCACTTTACGCGGTTTTCACTTTCCGCGGTACCCCGTGGGTTCAATTGACAGGGTAAATCGGGGTACTACTGTATATGGTGGCAAATTTTCCTTAGAAACAGATCACATGCCCTTAACAATCTTCTCCACATCTAGAAACTTAAATGCAAGATTAACACTGTGGGCATTATACCTCCAACAATTAAATTTCACTTCATCGGTGCAAGTAATATTTTTTTAATGTTTTATGTGCCACTAAGTGATATAGGATGTACGAAGGAATTGTTTCAGATGAGTTCCTCGTTCTGGTGTATGTAGTACTGCTGCATTCGTAGTTCTTTTCAGATGCAATTAATATCTTTAAGTAATTATTTTGATACCATGTATAACTTTTGCTTCCCATTGTAGTGTTATAAGCCACACTAAGAAGTACTCTAGTGCTTGTGTACAATTATTCATTCCATCTGTAGTGTTTGAAGGAATAGAAGTGTTATCTTCTACCAGTGCATCTCATTAACCCCAATCACAGGTACTAGCTATTCCACGGTCACGGAAAATACTTTTATTAATTGTGTTTGTGCTGGTTTGGGATTTCTCTGAGGGGTGCTTCCACTGCATTGCCATCCACTATAACTAAAAAAAAACCCAATAATTAGTAGTGAGATATTCCGACCGGTTCGAGTCCTGGCTGGTGAGGTCGTTGATTATATGTTCAAGTCCGTGTGTTATATGGACTAAAATGAAGTATATATGGTACCTCGTGTTTCATACCAGCTGGATTCTGTAAAATGCTACTCCCACCACATAAGTGGCACGGGCAATCCCCAATGGGAGGTTCACGGCGCCATCAGCTCGATGAACAGGCTTTGTGTGACATATAACATAGTCTAGGATTGCTTTTAGTATCCTTGTGGCATGGTCGGTAGCGCTCCCTGGTCACACACATAAGGTCTAGGGTTCGAGTCCTGGCTGGTGAGGTCGTTGATTATATATATACAGTACAGTATACAGGTATATATTAAACGGTACTATAAGGGAAAAGGGGAATAATGAAACATAAAGAAGCACAGTCTTATGTAATAAGAAAATTGAAGAGGCAAACTACACACAAAAATATAAAGTAATGAATGGCACAATACCTGTATGTACTTTAACACACAGGAGTCCTCATTATTATGTGCTTGATGGCCATTTTTCATGCTTGCATGGGTTAGTTGCAATAACCTGATGACAGCTCTATGGTGCATGGTCTCTTGTCAGATTCTTAATTCTAATGTCATATCTTACCTCTCCCCATGTTAATCCTGGCCTGTCCCTGGGTCTCCTCCCCTCCCCTCCACAGTAGATATTTTCAGTTGACTGAAGCGTTCTATCCACCATGACTCTACCAGATATTGTATATCTTTTCTTATTATTATTGTTTCTTCTTTATCTTATCATTCTTATTCTTCTTCATCTTATTGTACTACTACTACAGTACTTCTTCTTCTTCTTATTTTTTCTTTCTTTTGTCGGGTAGTTTTACTATTTCTTTATTCAATTTGTCTTCCATAACTACTGTAGTTTATATGGAATTGAGAAAAAGTATTCATAGTCTTTGTAAGAGTAAATGCTTCAATGTGGTTTGAAAATAAAAATAAACATATGGTATAAACAAACACCAATCTGTGTTCATACGAGTGTACAATAAGTTGGTTGTACCACAGGGCATTTTTTTTTTCATAAATTACATGCCAGAAATTATTCAGAGAAATTAAAAACAAAATAGACTGTGAAAAGCTACAAAAAGATCGCTATCAGCTTCAGGAGTGGTCAAAGGAATGTATGGTAAGATTTAATGTCAAGAAATACAAAGGGATGCACCTGAAGGTTGTACCAACAGTAAGGAGGCAGATCACATGTCCCAACAGGACAAAAAAAAGCATTAATGGTAACCAAATGTGAAAAAGATTTGGGTGTGTATGTTAACAATGAACTGAAGTTCTCAGATCATTGTGAGAAGAAGGTGAATGAAGCAACTAAACGAGTGAATCTTATAAGAAGAGTTTCCCTCATAATGCTCTTCAAAAGTGAGGTGTTCCCCATTTGGAGTACTGTCACCCCATCTGGTCCCCGATATGTTAGAGAATGCCAGTTGATTGTAAACATCCAAAGCAGGGCACCAGACTGGTACCTGCACTACGGCACCTCTGGTACCCAGAGATATTAGAATGCCCGCAGTTGCCTAGCTTATAGCATAAGCTGGTAAGAGGTGACTTAATAGAAGTTTATAAACATCTCAAGAGGACATTACTCATGATTAGAGGCAAAGATGGTAAAATAAAGTTAAGTAATAAAACTATTAATGTAAAAAGCATGTAGAGAATAAACAATAACGTGCCTATAATTTTCTGTTCTCACTTCACAAAACATTTGCTACTACATTCACCATTCTTTTTTAAGTAGCTGAGAAATTAGCTAATGTGGTAACAATGAACCATTAAACATTCAAATTCCTGTGGCAGGATCATCAACCAGTACGTTTAAAATGACCAATATGAATTCTAAAAGCTTTGTGAATACCATAATATTTGATTAATACATCACAAATAAATACAGTATGAAGGTATTATTTCTCTCAAAGTATTGTTATGTACTCAAAGCTGCTCGGATACAAACAAAACTTGCTTTTAGGGAATTCTCAATTTCTAGAAAGAATGAACTTAATGTATCTTTTTTCTTTTCTTTTTTTCATTTAAAGAATTAATAAAGCCGTTTTTTTCTAAAAACCAGTTTTTGTGATATAGCTCGAATGCGACGTCAGCAAATGCTACCTAGGTCTGTTAATTCCTAGTCAATTCGCCAGGCCAACATACAGGCAATTAAAACATCTAATAATTACTTAATAAGTAATATTAGGAGAACACGTTGCTACCTACATATACAGGTAACAGCTTTTTTCAGGTAATCCAGTTTCCTCCTGGTATAACACTGGGCAATAAAGGTCAAAGAACATACAGACTGCCCGAATGGTTAACAACTGTCAAATAAGGGGGGTAGGGAGGAATGTTCAACTGAGTTTGAGAGTGATTGGAAGCAAAACTTAATTTAGTCTGTTGATAGGATAACAGATGGATGAACCAGGGAGAAAATGTCCAGTTTTGACAAATTTCTTGCTTTCTGTGATCCATAATTGAGAGTCTGTACCTGTAGTGTCTTTATGTTTCTGACCACTGATTGGGACTGTCTTTCATGGAAATAGATGTGTCTGTCCTCACCTGGTGCCCTTCATGTGCAGCAAGGCAAAGGCGGTGGTGATAATCTGCCCCCACAACAGTATCATAATTCCAAAAAACACACACCATAGCCATTGGTCTGTTGTCAATGCCGCTGTGTTGAATGCGTAGCTTCCAAACTGCACTATCACAACCTGTCAGGGAACATTAATAGTGTTAATGGTGTTGAGGATGGTTAAGGCAATGGTAGAATTACAGATTTTTAGATAGTATAGGTAGTGTGAGTATGATTATGACCACTTTGAAGAACTTGATGGTATAGAAGGTGACACTGCTGGTGATTGCAAAAGAAAAGTCATGGCTTTGAAAGATGGTAATGTTTTTGGTATTGTAAGACATTCAGAGTTTTATGATATCGGTGGTTCTGCTGTCATTGATGGTGATGACAATGTTGATGATTCTGGTAGTATTAGTGGTGTTCATGGTGTATGACAGTGAAACATGGGCATTTAAAGAGGATGTCATAAGCAGGCTTGATCAAGCTGAAATGAGAATGGTGAGGTGGATATTATGAGATACTGAAAGACAGCACTAAGAGGATGGCTGGGTATTGAGAGTACGTATAAGCAAAGTTCTGAGTAAGGCAGTCCGAGATGGTTTAGGCAAGTGGAGAGAATGGATGAGACCAATTGGGTCAAGAGGTGCATGATCCTAAATGTGGAGGGAAGGAGAGCCAGGGGTAGGCCAAAAATGACATGGGTAGAGGTTGTCAAAAATAACTTTAGTTAGAAGCTTGCCAAGAGAGACTGTAAGAGACCATGCAACATGGAGAGCTGCCATCTGGTCAGCTAACCTTCACAGGTGTGGAAAATAGCCACAAAACAGTGATGATGACGATGATGATGATGATGATGATGATGGTATCAGTAGTGTTGTTGGTGATGATGGTGGTGGTGGTATTAATTGTGTTGATGGTGGTATTAGTGGTGTTGATGATGGGGGTATTACTGGTGTTAATGATAGTGGTGCTAATGGTGGCATTCATGATGCAAATGAAAAATGCTAGTGAAATGGTAGTGTTAGTGAAAATTATAGCTATACACATTTCTAAAATCTCTGCCTCTTAAAAGACTTTCATCCATAAACTTGCCATTACACATCAGCAGTGCCTTTATATTTCTGTTCTGCTCTGATGTACAGTCAATCAAAGATCCACTGACCCCAACCTGGGTCTCGTACTCACAATTCTACTTGGCAATAATTGGTAAAGTAAAGCTGTATGTAAAGGTGATTGTGATTGGTGGATCTAAATTTGGCTGTATCACTGTCAGGATAAATATTAAATAAACCAAAGGTAACATTTTTATAATAATAAGCTATTCATCATTATTTAAGATCATGAGAAGTTTACAAATTTTCGTATATTTACTTTTAGTGATATGCCTGTCAGCCGCAACAATTGGTGCAGAGCATTACCGGGAATGAGATATTTCCGGGTAACCAGACGATATTCTCAAACACGGAAAAATTCCTCATCCCCAGAATCGTTTCCAGTTCCTGGGAAAAGTATTCGAGTGTCTAAACTAGACATCTTGCATAGACAGATACTAGCACACTTCTCCAGAATATTTCTGGGTGCTGGGGATGTTTTCCTTAAGTTTTAAATACCAGAGTCCATAAATGCAGTTCAAATTAAGTTAGAAGTTCTAATTAGGTTAGAAACTCCATTTCTTTTTTTACAATATAATAATCAAGAATAGTTTATCTAAAAAGTGGATAAATAAACATATTTAAAAACTAAAAATGGAAGCCACACATCCACAACATTGCTAAAGCTGCCTCATGAAAGCTGGGAATGCTGTACAGATGCCATGGCTACTTCACTCCTGAGCAGTTACTTCAAGTATATAAGGGATTCATTCGTTCAAACTTGAAGTACTGTTCTCATATTTGGGGTGGCTCCTCTTCTGTCCAACTGTTAGATAGGGTGGAATCAAAGGCATTTCGTCATATTGACCTCCTCCTTTAGTTGATAATCTTTCTTCCCTTTCTCTTCGGCGCAATGTTGCTTCACTCTCTCTCTTTTACAGGTACTTTAACGGGCAATGTTCAGTGGGTTTTGCATCGTGTGTACCGCTAGCAAGGCCATGGGCTCGTAACACTCGTCTTGCCGGCGATGCCCACCATTTCTCTGTGAATGTCGGTCACACTAGAATAACCCATTATAGTACATCCTTCTTTCCTCACACAGCCAAACTGTGGAATGCTCTGCCTTCTTCTGAGTATCCATACTCAAACACTCTGTCTCGCTTTAAAAAGCTGGTTTTCCGGCATCTTCGTGGTGTAGATTAATACAGTATAATCTTTTTCTTTTATATTATAATTTCTTTATACTCTTATTTTTTTGCCCCCTAGGCCCCATTGTTGGTCAATGACCTGTGCCCGGGTGGGCTATTCCCCGGAAAAACAAAAACAAAAAACAGGCATGAATGAAGCTGTGTGTTACAGCAAAGACTGGTAATTTCTACTTCCATTAATCTGTGGGGGATTAGTGGGTCTCATGTGACTGACCTTCTGATGGAATGTCAGGTCACCCATTTTTTGGGTGGGGGATTAGTGGGTCTTATGACCTGACTACCCTGTATGTCTTGAATAAAGACAAAATCTAAAGTAGTAGGTAGGCGAGTGCTGTGTAAACAATGACATTTCTAACCACACCCTGCAAAATACAGTACACTTAGCAAATGCTGCAGCTTCTGACAATGGGGGGGTTACTACTAAGAGCAGAGACGTTATCAAGAACAAATTCTGGCTTGAATGTCATGTACCCTAATACTGACACGTTCCTTGATAAGAGAGAGGAGTTTTAAACACTAATGAAGGTATACCAACCAGATATTGTAGGAGTTGTGGAACTGTTGTACATGAACAGGAGAATCGACCCAGAAGATTGTGAGTTCAATATTGCTGGATATGACTCATTTACGAACCTTTCTCAAGAAACCTGCAAGAGGGGTGTGGTTATCTATGCAAGGCAAGATCTTAGAGCTAGCCAAGTGAGGGTACAGGGAGAGGATGTTTTTGAAGAGTCCAAGTGGTGTAAAATTAAATTAAAGGGAGGGGACTTACTTATTGTCGGGTGTATCTACAGATCCCCAAACTGTGGCCCACTAAATCAAAGGAACTTAAGAGCCTTAATAGACAACGCGGCGATGCTCAACCTTAGCCACCTCCTTATCATGGAGGACTTTAACTATGGTGACATCGACTGGAGAAACGAGTTCACCCCAAATGACTTGAATAACCCTGCTAAACTTTTGTGGAAACTCCGAGATATAATTTTCTGTTCCAACATGTTAGAGACCCGACACATTACAGAGGTGAGCAAACACCCAAGCCACGAGACCTCATCATAACAAACGAGGAGGGTATGATGGCCAAACTGGAACACCTTGCCCCAGTTACAAATATAGTGTTGTCATTCAGATTTAACTGTTACCTAGTTCAGGATAAGGCCAGGCCAAGGTGCAAATATTACAAGGGAAATTACAATGGGATGAGGGAAGAGATGGGTGGTATCCACTGGCCTGACTCAGTAAGGCACAAGAATGCAGACACTATGATGAATATCATAAGTAGTAAAGTGACCCATTTGATCGATAAATATATACCTAAGACCAAACCCAGTGCCTCTAGGAATGCGAGGGGATCCCTACACATGAACCACGCGGCGATCGACAAAGTTAAGATGAAAACCCAGAAATTCAAGACGTAGGTTGGGTCAAACGATGGGCAGGACAGGAGGATGTATGCAAGAGCTAGAAACCAAGCAAAGATAGAGTGTAGAAGGGCTGAAAAGGAGTTCCAGAGGCTGGTTGCAAGCGAGGTCAAGTCAAACCCAAAGGCGTTTTACCGCTATGCAAAGCTGAAATTAAAAACGCGAGTAGGAGTATCAGACCTGAGGCTTGAAGATGGTAGTTATGCAGATTCTGACCAGGATAAAGTTGAGGCATTGAACAGCTTCTTTTCCTCGGTGTTCACAAGAGAGATGCGATTAACCATCCTGCGTATGAGAACAGATGGTTCAACACAGCTCCGACCCACATTGGGTTCACAGAAGAGGGTATTAGAAATAAACTGTCAAAGCTAAAGGTCCATAAGAGTCCTGGTCCTGACATGGTGCACCCCAGAGTGCTAAGAGAGTTGTGCAACGGGCTTGCCGAGCTCCAGAAGATCCCGTTTTGTAAATGCCTGGATGAACAAAAGGTCCCCAGTGATTGGATAGTGGCTAATGTGAAACCTATCTTCAAGAAGGAAGATCGCCACTCCACGAGCAACTATAGACTGTTGAGCCTGACCAGCATAATACATAAAGTACTTGAGAGTATTATCAGAGATGCTGCAATGGAACATCTACTACGAAACAACCTTGTAAAGGATTGCCAACACAGATATTTGGACCTATATTCTGGAATGGGGTGGTAATATCGACAATATATACCTAGATTTTGCCAAGGCTTTCGACAGTATACCCCCACGAAAGGCTGAAAATCAAACTGGAAGGGTACGGAATTCGGGGAAATGTCCTAGAGTGGATAGAAGACTTTCTGCTTGACCGCAAGCAGTTTGTGGTGATTAATGGCACGAAATCATCATCTGTACCTGTCACAAGCGGGGTACCACAGGGCAGTGTATTGGGCTCGCTGTTGTTTGTTTGTTTCATAAATGACATGCCTGACGTTGTACACTTCTCCATACAAATGTTTGCCGATGATGCCAAGTTATTTCGGGAAATCAAGAACCATGCGGACTGTGAAGAGCTGCAGAAGGATCTCTGTGAGCTCCAGGAATGGTAGAAGAAATGGCTGTTAAGATTCAATGTCACGAAGTGTAAGAGGATGCACCTGGGGCGTACCAACGGTAAGGAGGCGTATCATATGTCCCAACGGGAAGAAGAAACTGCACTATTTGAGACTGAATGTGAGAAGGACCTAGGTATGTTGACAATGAGCTGAAGTTCTCAGGCCATTGTGAGAAGAAGGTAAATGAGATAAATAAATAATAGGTCTTATAAGGTCGTTCAGATATCTAGACTGTCCGTCCCTCGTAACAATCTTCAAGAGTGAAGTGCTTCCCCATCTGGAGTACTGTCACCCCGTCTGGTGCCCGAGATATGCTAGGGACTGTCAGTTGG